GCCCCTGTCACAGTGCCTGGCACATAGTGAGCTCTCAGCAAATGTTTGCTTCCCTCTTTTCCAAAGAGACAGCAGAGATGCTCTGAAATGCTAAACTTCAGGTACTATCTGAGAGAAGATAGTGAGACAGGGGTGAAGGACAGGTAGTCAGTGTAGATTGTAAATAATCAGGTTGGAAAGATAAGGGCTGATTATCAAAGAAAAGGAAATGGGTTGCTAACATCTCCATCTCAACCAGTTGCTAACACTTGGGAATCCACTTCCCAGCCTAAGCAATTGCCCCAGGGCTGCTCCTTCCTGCCCAGAGGCACACAAGCTGAGGAAAACAGAGAAGGTGGGGGATTTGTAAAAAAGCAAGACACACCCTCTTCTGTGGGCACCCAGTTCTAGGCCCCCTTCTCTCTGGAGAAATCTCTCTGTCCCTCTCTTAAATAAAACTTGTTTTGTATGCTTGCCTTGGCATTTCTCAGGTCTTTCATCTTCATCACTGGGGAACTAGGACTCAATCTTGATTTCTAACACCCATATCAATAACACCAAATTCCTTTTAATCCGCTCACGATACTTGGTGCAAACAGAAAGGTGAGAGCAAAAAGAGAGTTGGCCCATCTTCAAAATGAAGCCAGAAATCTTGAGGTCTATTAGGAATCAGGTATTGTGTAAGACAGTGTGGAGATGCAGTGAGAAATTAAACGTGGTTTTTGTCATCCACACTATGATAATCTATTTGGAAGGACAAGCTATGAGCATGTGAAGAGTTAAAAATAAAGGGGATGTATCTATGGGGGGGGGACATATGCCTAATAAGTCAATCTGAGGACAGCTAGAACTGATCAGAGGAAAGGGAGGCCATTTCAGGCTGGTAGTTTGAATAAGGAGAGAGGGGCTCTGTGAGCAAGAGTGTAGAGCCTGAACTGGACCGGGGTATGTTCTGGAAACAAATAGCACACCCATTCGGCAGGAGCTAGGAGAGTTGTAGTTAAGTGGAACTTGATGGAGGGCAGAGCTCCATATGCAGGGTCCTCAAACCTCAAGGCAGTGAGGTTAGACCCTGCAGGAAGTGGGGAGCAAGGAAGGTTTTTTTCAGCAAAGTAGGTGTGTGAATTGAAAATGCATTCTGTGGCTTTACCCCAGTCTCAGCAGACCTGAGGTCTGCACTCCTTCTAGCTCTTTCTAGTTGTCGTGGGGTCTCCTGAGTCTCTTGTTTAACATTTCTTTTTGTGCCAATGCTTGAGGAAAAAAACATTTTCAGCTTGGGTGACTGGCTATGGTATTTTTAAACAAATAGCTTGTTTGTTTTCCGTGTAATGCGTATTCAGCATTGAACTTCCTGAAGTGGGTGGAAAGGACCAGGTAGCTTCAGAAAGCTGCTTTCCAACCTCCAGGATGCTGATTCAATGACTCAGCACAGAACGTTTTGCAATAGATCTCCAGAACCAGCCCAGCTGGCTTTTCCCAGGGAGAACTTGGTGTCCAAAGAGAACCTTAGCCTTAGCCCCTGCCCCACCAGGTAGAAGTTCATTCTCTGCTCTAAGAGCACACCTGCAGCACGTGTTCTGGAACCAGCACTGGGGAATCCAAAAAGAGCTTAGGAATCAAGTTAGAGTTCAGTGCAAACACTGGCTCAGCCTCTAACCAATTGTGTTTCTTTCTTCTTTACCCAACCTCTCCCAATTAAAGTTTCCTCATCTGTGAAACAAGAGACAATGACTCCTTTGTAGTGTGGTTATGAGCCTTAAATGAGACAAGTGTTAAGTGGCACACAGCAGGTATTCTATATGTGGATCTTTTTCTATAGCAAAATGCACAATATTTCTACAAAGGAAGCTATTTGTGTCTCTTGGCTCTACCTTTAAAAAAAATCAAATTTCCTCATTTTCCAACCATACTCCCTTTGGCCCTGCCCTGATATCTGAGTCCTACAGGTGGATGTGCTCCCCACAGAAAGTGTGCTTGACTGGGAAGAAGAGTTCAGGAGAAAATTCTGTTGCCTAAAAAGTGGGCTGAGCCAAATTGCCATCCTCACTTGGCTATATCTGTTCCCCCAGAAATAAGTTGAAGACAATGACAGGGAATTCAGGTGTAAAGCAAGAAAACATAAAGAAGATTTTGGAATATAAATTTGTATTTTCCCAAACAACCCAATCAACAAATGGGCCAAGGACCTGAACAGACACTTC